TGTATATATGTGTGTGTGTGTGTGTGTGTGTATGTGTGAATATATTTTACATATTTACTTAATGATATATTAAATGTAAAAATACTGAAAAGGTTTTATGTACTATAGATGTAGGTTTAGCCAGATGTTGTATATGAAAAGCTAAGAACATACCAAAGACGACAAAAAAATTGTGATAAGTTCATCTATTATAAGTTGGTTAACTTCATCTGCTGCTGGCATTACACAGCCTTTTATTAGAAACTGGTTCATATTTTATTTTTATTTTACATCATAATCATAATATTTTCCTGTCTGAAGCAAAGAGTTTCTTTTAACCCTTCCCATCATGCATTTATTTCAACTCACTGCTATTATATACATTGGCTTGTCAATAATTCCTTCACTTTAACATACAATGGAAAGTGTGATGCAGAAATCCAAAGATGTATAGGAATAGAGATAGATGTTTCCAGAAAACTAGGCAAGGTATTAAAGGATTTTAAAATGTCATTAGAAACAAAGAAAAGAGTCTTGGACATCTATATAATTACTCATTTCCTTTATGACAGTGAATGCTGGATAATTTCCTTACAGATGAAAAAAGTAACATTATATGGCTTTTTTGGCATATCTAGAGAATAACATAGAGAGAGCATAGGACAAGTGAGGAAATTTTACAGAGTATTTCTTTTATTGGCATCATGTTTCATCAGGATTTAAGCAATCTTCAGAGTTTGTCTATATTTCTGAGATGAGGTATTATGTACAGTATTTACATTAGTCGGACTATTGTCCTCATCTTTGTCGCCATATTTGTCACAACGTTTCGGCCGTTGTACGCTCCGGCCTTCTTCAGGTGGTTGGAATTTCGAACTGAACCCTTTATTTCGATCACTGGGGTAGACTGTTCTAATTCCACGTGCCATGTTTGATGGATGTCAGTTATCAGTTATCTCCTGCTAATTTTCCCTCTGAAAGTTCTCCACTGCCTTAACCAGGAATTGGACTCACCTTCTTTGGGTCTGTCACTGGATCTAACCAACGCCTTTATCCACTGTGCCATGTGTCCTTGAGGAGCGTACAACGGCCGAAACGTTGTGACAAATATGGCGACAAAGATGAGGACAATAGTCCGACTAATGTAAATACTTAAGCTATCTTGGCTCTCAACAGCTTCCATTTTTTATCATCTGTGAATTCTTGGGAGAGAGAGTAGAATGGTTTCATTTTTTTAATGCCATTTGTTTTCAGGATGTAGGCAATCATGTCTCGTCACAGGTTCTTTTTCTTTATAATCTGTGAATAATTATGACTTCTTGGAGAAGAGAACTAAATGGTTTCCTTTGCCACAGGTTGGAATTCAGTTTTTCTTCTCCTAGGCTAAAGAGTTCAGAAGACCCTGTTAGTTAGCCTATAACTGAGAGGAGAAAAAATTAATTCATACCTTTTCCAAGGTCATTACTGCAGACTATACACAACAAACCAAGTTGAAATTTTAATTTAGGTTGCTGATTCCACTTTTCATGCCAGTAATAGTTACACTACCCACACACCTTTTTAAGTGATGCAGGAACTATAAAAGACACAGCTGCTAACAGTAAGAAATATCCAACTGGAATTTTTGGAAGGCATCTTTTTGTTATTCCACTGTATGGATTTAGGTGTCATATTTTTCCGTCATCTGTTAAATAGTAAAAAAAAATATTGTCTTTGAGGCCCTACCTTTACCAATTTCCAATGTCTTCATTTTTCAATCTCAAAGTCACTATGTGCATTCTTATTAAACCAATTTTATGATCTTCTCTCATGATGTCTGTATGGCGCCTTGCTTGATAGTTGAGAGAAAAGAGTAAATTGTAGGGCTGAACTTTGATCCGAAGTATAATGTGCTTTGATCTTATGTGTTAAAATATAAAAAGAAAGAAGAAGATTAAGTACTTCAGTAACATGGTAATGAACTAAAAAGACATCCTTTAATTATTTCTAATACATCAATATTAAATCAATTAATATGTTAAGTGTAATAGAAAGAAAATATATAATCCTTGGTGCACAGGTCACATAGTGTAGCAGTTATCAGTGTAGAATGTGAGATTGGCATTTTCAGTTCAAATTCCAGTTAAGATAGTTGCATTCACTTTTGCACAGATACCCTTGGCAAAATATGAATACAAAATCAACTTTTCTCCCATTAGCTAAAGGATAAAAGTAGCACAGATTGTGTTTTTTAGATTTTTGTTGACATTAAAGTCTTGAATTCTCATAAATACAAAACCAGTTGGATATAGAGCTTGCAACTCTACCCCATAAGTACCTCTTTGCTACTTAAACCTCAAGTCAGTCAGTTATGTGCCATGCGTGATACACACTTAGGCAATCATGTATCTTTCGATACATGACTGACGAGGCAGATTTTTTCCCACAGTAGGTTGCCATTTCTTTCTGCAGTAGATCAGTTGCCATTGAAGACTACAGAACCCAGTCTGTCCTGCTAGTTACCCATAGCTAGGGGGAGAAGAAAAGGATTCATGCCTTTCCCATGGGTATTAGCACCTAAGTGAATGTAATGGATTTGACTGGAATTCGAACCTGGCTCTCTGATTCTTCAATCTGAGCAGCTATCAGTGACACTTAATGGAGCTATACTCCACTTGAAGTCAACAGGGTTATTACACAGAGATGAACCATTTAAGCTTGCAGATGTCCTCCAGAAATATGCAGGTAGTGTAATGTATAGCAGCTCAGGAGAAATTGGAGCGCCATGTTCGGAATGCACAAATACCCTTGGAAAATCTATAAATGTAATTTCTTCTCCCTCCAGCTATGGGTTAAGTAATAAGAATTGTATCTGGGAAAAGTATTATCTCCAAAAAATGTTAAAAAAAAGAATTATTCTTACAATCCAAAAGCTTTAAATAGCCCACAAAAGGTTGATAAGCCATAAATCAAATCAATGAAACAGGTATCCCCAAAGAATGTAATTTATCAAATTTAAACTAATACTGATATCCTTGGGAGGTACATGGTAATGGTACAGAAGGAATAAACCGTTTCCATACTGGACTCAGTGGAAATGGACCCGCAGTAACTGAGAAGTACTAAAAATAATAGGTAGACAATATCCCTAGACATAGGTAGTGGAATGAGAACAGTCTAACACTAAATAAAGGATTCAGTTCAAAATTCCCTGTAGAATTCCTAGATTCATATACGCCTGATGAAGGCTGGAAGTCACATTGGCTGAAACATTGTGATAACAACAACAAAAATAAGGATAATAGTCTGAATATAAATAGTGTAAAAATAACTCCTCATCCCAGAAATTCAGAGGGAAAAGCTATTTTAATCATTGATCTTAGAAAACGATTGCACATAGATAATAGTTAAGACATTTCTGAATGAGTTTGATGCTATGCCTGACATCCACATGAAAGTCTCAAATTGACCAGGCTTTTTAAGAATATAACTCAACATTTCAGATTAATATTTTGGTTTTTAACATCATACATTTTGACAAATGTATAATTAGTGCAATGTACCCAGTGTTCAACTATCTTATCTCCTATACTAAATTTGTTATAAATGATCCAGATTTATCCAGTTATTTATAGTTTTTAGAATTTATCAATTCAACATTCTGAGTGGCATCTCTACTCTCATTCTTGGTTTATCAAAGGTTTATCAAGTCCTAATTCTTTGGACACTTGGAATAAAATGTCGATATTTTGAAATAGTCTGAGCAAATTAGCCTGTATTTCATGTTGGAGAAACATAAAGTAGCAAAATTGAATTCACTTCTCAAGAGGAAATTTTTTGAGACATCATGTCTTGTCTTTTTTTTTTTGGTTTTTTAGGGGTTTTTTTTTTTTTGCTTTTTTTGCTTTCTTCTGACCATCCACATTTATTCATTTTTTTTCTCTTCTTTTTTTTTTCAGAAAATCTTCATTTTTTTTTTTTAATATATATATTTATGATTCTACACTTGAAACTTACTTCAGGGGTATGCAATATCAATTTTTGATTTCTCTTATTTATTTATTTATTTATTTCTCTCTCTCTCTCTCTCTCTCTCTGTCTCTGTCTCTGTCTCTGTCTCTCTCTCTCTCTCAGTGAAGCAAAGGATATTGAATTATATTTCAGTGTAAATTACCCAAAATAGAAATTCTATTTGAAATGAGTTCAGAATTAAGAGAAATTGTTGGGAGAAGATGGTTGGATGAATCGGTACAAGGAAAAGAAGAAAATAAATAAAATGTTGAATGAAAGAATGTATGAATAGATGGACAAATAAATAAAAGGTGAAAGAGATGGGAGAATGTGGAAGATTTTTGAAAAGACAAGATAAATCATTTCCTTCAACATTTAAAATAAAGGTTCATTCTACACCAAAAGTTATATTAACAGAAATCATTTCTTTTCTTTTTTTTTTTTCATATACATTTGCATCATATTTATTATTTTGTTTTGTTGTGTTGAGTCTTTCATTTACAAATAAATCATCTCCTTTTGCTGAATCTTTTCACTTCATTTAAATACCAAAATGTAAATGACAATAACAATAAGATATTCAAAATCCATTAAATCAATTTTTCAAAAATGAAAAATTCAGATGTAATCTGTAAAGAGTAAAACATAGAGCAATTATTTCTTAGCATTTTCCATTTTTTTCTTGATGAATTTTGTATTCTTTCTGTCTTTTTACTTAATATCCTCTTTCTTTTTAATCTTTTCCAATCTACCTTTATTTTTTTTGTCATTTTTTATTCTTTCTTCTTTTCTTTTCTTGCTCTCATTTTTCCTTTCTTTTTAAGGTTATTTTTTGTTTCTTTTTTTCCATACTTGCAATTTCATTGATTACTAGACTTATTAATTTTTCTCTATTCCTTTTTTTTTCTTTCTTTTCCAATCACTTTTTTGTGCCTTTTTTTTCTTGTACATTTCCATTCCTTTTTCTTTTTTTTCTCAGTTTATTATTTTTACTTTACCATTCAGTCTTTCATCTTTTTTAATGCATTTATATGATTTCCTTCCTTTTATATTTTTTATACCATATTCTTTCTTTCTTCATTCTTTCCTTGATTTCTTTCTTTTTTCTCCTTTTATACACCCTCACTTATTCACATCTTTTTCTTACTATATCTTTTTTCTTTCTTTCTTTCTTTCTTTCTTTAATTTTGAATTTTTTCCTTCAATTTTCTTTTCTTTCTTTAATTCTGCTTTTTTTACTTCCACACATATTTTCATCATTCTTTCTTTTTTTTTCTTTAATTTTTGCTTTCATTTATTCTTTCTTTTTTATTTCTTTTTTTTTTGCTTTCCTTCTTTCTTTCGACTACTTTTTATACTTCTTCAATTATACACATTGTCTTCTTCCTTTCTGTTTTTCTTTTATTTTTCTGTCCTTTTTACTTCCTTTGTTCCTTGCTTTCATTCTGTACTTCAAAATTTCCTCATTTATTTTCATCTTTCTTTCACCTTATTTAATAAATTTCTTCTCATCACTCATTTATAATTTCTTATCTATTTATTCATATCTAACTTTCTTTCTTTTTTTCTCATTTCTTTGCATCATTTTCTTTCCTTCTTTTTTCTTTCTTTCTTTCTTTCTTTCTTTCCATTCTTTCAATAAATTTATCTCACCACTCATCTATAATTTCTTACATATTTATTCATATCTTTCTTTCTTTCTTTCTTTCTTTCTCCTCACTTCCTGATTTCTCTTTCCCCAGCACTTTTATTCTTCCTCATTTATTTATTAAATCATCCTCTTTCTTTTAGTCTGTTTATTTTCTTTGTATCTCCAGTTTCATTTAATGCAGAAAGAATATCAATTTGACTAACCACAAACATTTTTCAACCAATTAAATCCAAAGTAACAAGTTTTCATCATTACTGTCACAAATAGCTTCTCAGCCCACACACATTAAAAGAATTGTCTGCAGACATTTTTCCCTCTGAAATTTTTTAAAATCTCAAATTTAAAAAAAATATTTTCAATAATAATAATATTAGATATAATAATAAATCATCCACCTCTTTTGATTAATGATTAATCAAGGTGTGACTCCCATTGTAAAACATTGGCAATAAAACTAAATGTCTGCTGCCATAGCAACTAATATTTTTCATTATTACAGCAAGGACACCTGGTATTACTCAGATAAAAAGAAAAAGCTTCTGAAAGATGAGACAGTTTATCAGTATTAGATTATGTGACATGACAGTGAAATACATAAAATATTAGTAATATCCACAGGCATTAGTATAAGTACTATCCTTAAGTATTCAGTTTTTTCTCTTGCACTTCTCACTTATGGAACTCTCTTCTGGCTTCCTGCTTTCTTATCAACTTCTTCTATATGTGATTATGGCTCACCACAATTTCCTGTCCTTTGGTGGTCTTAGTAAATTTAGTCTCTCTTAGTAAATTAGTAAATTTATCTCTCTTAAAACCTGTTCTGCTATCTATTTACATAAACTAGTGAGGTAAGTTATACATTATTTTCCTCTGTCGCTCTTGCCTTCAATATGTTCTGTGTGTGTGAAATTTTCCAATCTTTCTTTCCTCTTATCAAATAGAATCTATAAAAATATGAATGCTACGTCAACTGTCACCATCTGCCTCCTTGTGTCCTGTTCTTTTATTATTGGCTTTACAACTCTTGGCTTAGTGACTCTTTACTTTATGATTCTTGACTTTGTGACGCTTGACTTTGTGATGCTAGGCTTTACAAATTTTGGCCTTGTGATGCTTCACTTGAAAAATGTTGACTCTGAAATTCTTAGCTTTGCAACTCTTGGCTTTTTTATTATTGCCTTTGCAATGGCATTATGACATTTGGTACCTGCATATGTCTTTCTACTACAGAAGTTTGTTTTTCAGTGTTTGAATATTATGCATTGTTGGGCACCTTCTCATGACATAATTGCTAGCAAACAATCCTTGTAGATCATTAAGAGGCTGTAGTGAATTTGAGCTTCAGTAAGTTTCTCCTGCTTACAGCCTTGTATCAGACTAAAGTAAGCTTAATAATTATATCATAACATCTTGTATTGAGCATTGCTTATTAAGCTAACCTAAAATACCATTATTACTGTATAGTGAGTTCAATCTTCATTAAGTTCTCTGTAATTTTTGCTTTGTATTTAACGCTCATCTTAGCAAATGACTATATCATGCATTATTTGAATAAAATATTAAATTTTTAAATTATACCAAAAGAAACTAAGCCCATTGATTGGGGGGGGAATGTTGAATGAGGTTAATCTGTTTGGCCATTATTAGTGAATAGGGAGTTCAATTCTCACTGGATACTCGATAAAAGAAAATCTGACATGAAATGATCCAACAGCATTTTCCAATGCATCTTTATAATACAATCATTTGCAATGCATTTTCATAGTAAAATCATTTGCAGTGTATTTTCATATTAAATCATTGGCAATGCATTTTTATAGCAAAATCAGTTTCAATGCATTTTCATAGTAAATCATCTCCAGCATCTAGGTTTGTGATAATGGTTAGCAAGGCTTGTCTGGATGACCATTAACAGTAAATAGTAAGTTCAATCCTCCCTGGGTGCCATGACAAAATTCAATAGTAAACAACCCATCAAGGGTTAACGTATCATAAAATCAACCAACCAAAATTAACTTAAGCAAAAGAAACTAGTAAGGACTCAAGAATGATTTCAAAAGCTTATCTTTGAATATGATAACAAGTATTAAAACAAAAAAACAAGATTGTTGTGTTTTGTTTCTAGATTTAAAACATCTTGCATGGACACATCCTGTAACCCATTTTAGGCTTGTTGTGGAACAACACCTACAGCTTCAACAGCGGCAATGTGTCTAGGGTAAGATAGTCTGATGTAACCTATTCCTCTTCAGGTTGGTTTTTAGAGTTTACCTTCACCTCAACTAGTTGACATACAAAGGCTAAAGAGCCTAGTTTGCCCTATGATTTCATCTACAACTAGGAGAAAAAGATGTATATTTGACTTTATCAAGGATTTGAGTTCAAACAGCCTATACTGGAATTTGAATTGTTGGTTCTATATTCTGTGCTGATAAAACCTCTCTGCACCCACTCCAAGAATTTCAACTGTCTCCTAAACCAAAGCCTGTCTTTTCAAAATTGATAGCAAGTGAAAGTTTTTATAACTAAATTTTTAGCTTTATTTCTTGACAGATGAGATAAATACTGAAAATACTTTATTTACATTATACATATACAGCCAAAGGAAACAGATTGTGGAATTCAACATGATATTATGTCCCAACAGTTGTCGATTTGATAGATGATAGATGGTACATAGATTATTATTTTAATCTGTTATTTCTCATTATTCTAAACATTGCTTGACCTCTAACTTTGATAAGCAGTGTGCCAGTAAAACTTTGAAGTTGGTCAATAGATAAGTCAATTTATTGTATATATATATATATATATATATATATATATATATATATATATATATATATAATGTATATTAATGTATTGGGGCAAATCATTATTTAAACATATATTGTTAAATATAACAGACAATGTTTGATCATGAGCCATTCTAAACTCTATATATTTCCTTTAATTTTGTGTGAAAATAAAGACAAAAATTGTCCAAAATTTAATAAAAAATATCCAAATGTTGGACAATTTTTGTCTTTATTTTCACCAAAAATTATACAAATATACAAATATATGGAGTTTAGAATGGCTCATGATCAAACATAACAGACATTCATTGTCTGCTTTATTTAACAAAATATGCTTAAATATACATACATATATATATATATATATATATATAAAGAGAGAGAGAGAGACAGAGAGATAGATAGATAGATAGATAGATAGATAGATAGATAGATAGATAGATCAGCTGACTTCAAGTATCGTGTGATGCTGAATTTTTTTGTATGAATTTTAACACCTCCAGAAGAAAACATTTACCTGTGTATAGTGCAACTGGTCATTAAAAATGCATGATCTTTAATCTCTCCACAAAATTACCTGTATTCAGTGTGGCTCCTCATATTTCGCATAAAAACTGATCATAAAAATTTTACAGATTGACTTCAAATCTTCCAGATTGATTACAAATCAATGACATCCCCTGATTTACCATTCCATAGTACGTTTTTTTTCCACTATGCAGAAGCAGACTGGGACAGATTTCATTTCTATATGACAGAAGTTCTCCTCAAAATCTTCTTCAAACATGCTACCCCCAAAACTGCTGCCCTAATCTTTGAATGGATCCTTTCTGGAATGGAGTGGTTTATACCCAACAAAAAATGCCATCAAAAACCAGTCAGCCTGCTCTGGTTCAGCCTGAATGCACTGCTATATTTCACCATAACCACTACTTAAAAATCTATCACAAGGAACAATGTAGTCTGGCCCTTACTTATTTCAGAACCACCTGGAATCGCTTTAAGAGAATCCTGAAAAACACAAAGTACAGTTATGTACAATCTGTCCATGCCAAGGCTGAAAATAAACAAATTGTGTCTCACTAATTCTGAAAGAACACCACTACTACCATGGAAAGTGCTTTGACAACTGCATCTCCTGGTGCCACCAGATCTAACCTTCATGGCTAATACCTCCCATGCCATTTACACAGTAACAAACGTCACTCATTTCCTCTGTAGAAGTAAGTTTCACTCAAACAGCTTCTTCTCCTCAACCCCTTCTCTATGGAACAGACTCCTAGAATAATGTTTCCCCAATCACTACAATCTTAACCTGTTCAATCTAGGGTCAACTACTATCTTCCCGTTCTATCCATATAAACTACTTCTTAACATAACCATCTACCTCCAATGGCCCCAGGTCTTGTAAAGTGTGAATCTTACTGTAAAATAAACAAAAAACTTGTGCATATATATATATAGATAGATAGATAGATAGATAGATAGATAGATAGATAGATAGATATAGTATTCAGATGTTTAGATTTTCTCCAGAAAAAAGAAAATGGTATGAAATATAGTAAAAATAAACAAAAATCCTTTGCAAATTACATTTGATTGTCTTTGAACAAACTTTTATAGTCAAACAATTGTTGCTCACACCTACTGAATATATATATATATATATATATATATATATATATATATAAGTAAAAATGTACACTGAGGTGAAGACTGAGGGGCAACAGTGTGTTTCTAACTTGAACATAAAATTCAGGCCTGAAGATTGGGTTTAAGCATGAAATAAGTTGTTGGCACTTGGTGTTGACCTCAGTATCAACTTTTATATTTAAATATGCTCTATCCTTGATATTGAAGACATCTACCCATAAATATAGCATACTAAAAACAAATGAGTTTATTTCATATATATATATATATATATATATATATATATATATATATATACAGAGTGTGATGGGCAAATTGTTGCCATTTTATATTTTTAAATTCATGCATGTGTATTGTTTGTTTTTGATTTTGTCAACAGCACAGTATAGTGGGATCAGTTGGGCACCATCTGTGAGAAAAATAGCCACATGACTCAATTCTCTCCACCAGAAATTTGGAAATGGCATGCTGTACTACTTGGTATTCAGCAAGGAAGCTCCAACACAAACATTTCAGAGTGTTTGGGTGTCAATCTGAAGACAGTGCAGAGCATTCAGAAAGAGATAGCTGAGTCTAATGTGGATTACAAAGGTACAGCAGCTTGGAAAACTCAGTCTGATCAATC